TGTATCCTGTCATTGGACTTTAAGTGTTGTTTTCTAAAATTTAGTTCTTTCACGGGCACCTGGGTGGCTCAGTCAGTTAAGTGTCTGACTCTTGATCTTGGCTCAGGTCACTATCTCACAGTTTGTGGGTTTGAGCCCCATGTCAGGCTCTGTACTGATAGCGTGGAGCCTGCTTGGAATTCTCTCTCCCTCTATCTCTGCCCCTATCAAACTTGTGCTCACTCTCTCTCTCAAAATAAATAAACTTAAAAAAAGTTTTAATTTACTTCTTGAAAGCATCCCGGTGACAAATAGCCTTGTATGTACATCTTGGTATGTATATATGATGATCTCCTTAGTGTAAATGTCTAGATATGATTATTACTGGGTCATTAGTCGATTAAACATACACTGATTTTATAATCCCAACTACTCCTGCAAGGAATATGATTTTACCAAATTTTAATTTATCAGTGCTTATTTCCCTGCATCCTTACTAGTGTTAGGTATTTCCAGTCTTATTTTTTTATTCCTAGCCCAATTTTCTAGGGAAAACATTATGTCATTGGTTTAATTTTTATTTGTTTGATTAGAAAGAAGTTAAGTGGTTTTTCACATGTATTGTTCACTTGTTTGTGTGTTTGGTGAATTGCCTTTTCCATTTCTGCCCATATGTCTATTTTGGAACCCAGCCTTTATTTTTCCTTGGTAAAAATCTCTGTATATTAAATATCAGTAACTATGACTGTTTTATATATTTTAAATTATTTTTGTTTCCTGTGCCTTTTATGGTATTATTGACATTTCGTTTTTACATTGTTAGTTGCTTCTATCTTTAGATTTTTTTTCCACTTTCATATCAGAAATTATTTTCCTTTATGAGTGAGCTTCAATTTATTTTACTTTTACAAAAAGCAAGAATCTAGTGGGGATTTTATTTTCATAGTAAGAGTTTGATGATTGATCATTTGTCCTGGTCTGTGTGTGTATGTATTTTTGAATTGTTAAAATTTGTTCTGGAATAGACTTTCCTGTCTTTACTAACTTGAAGATTCCACCTTGATTGTACACCATACTAGCTTCCTATGCAGATTTAGTTCTGGATAGTTGTCTCATGATTTGTCAATCATACAGGATAAACTAGTTGAACTGTTAGTTACATTTGTATAGTGTATTTAAATATTTGATAGTGTAATTTCTGTTAATTATTTTGAATTTTTCAAAATTGTCTCTGTAGGAATGCAAACTAATACAGTACAAATATCAACATTATTGGTAGATAATAAGAATTATAAAAGTTTTGAATTGGAGGAGAGCAGATAGGATCTTCGGGAAGATGTGGCACTTTGGCTGGACACAGACTCATGAATCTCATTTGACCTGGCAGAAGGGAAGGAGAAAGGGTTTTCCAGATGCTGTGACTAAGAGTGTCCAGGATTGTGGTGAAGAAGCATTATATAATGGGTGATGGGTGAAGCAGGGCGTATTTGTTGAGTACCTACTAAATGGGAGTCATCATAGTAAGCACTGTACAGGAATAACTGAGGTTGGCTGAATCCTCATACTTTGTCTCCTGTGTCACTGCATGGTCAGTGATCAGCTTTCATTCTGTTCCAATGTGGATGCAGAACTCAATATTTCTTTGAGTTTCTAAAAAAAAAAAAAAAAAAAAAAAACAAAACAAAAAAAAAAACAACCAAAAAAACCCCAAAAAACAGTTCACTCACAAAACTTTTGTCAGTCGATGGAAATCACAGTTTCTTGACATCAATACCATAGACATTTTGGGCTGAAAAGTCCATTGTTTTAGTGCTGTCCTGTGCATTATAGGATGTTTATCCCTGACTTTGTACCCACTAGATGCCAATAGCAATCTTGCTGCCTGGATGGGACAACCAAAAATGTCTCCAGACATTGCCAAATGTCTCCTAGGGGGCAAATCAACTCTGAGAATCATTGATATAGGTGATACCAAACATAGGCAGGTTGGCGGAGCGTTTTCTGTTAAACAGTACACACAAAAAAACAACCCTTTGTTTTCCTTGCTAAACTCCCTTCTTGGTTTCTCTGCAGACAAATTTGAGGAGTGATGTTTTGCTTAATTGATTCCGAAGTTTTTCAACTCTGACACCATTGACATTTGGGCTACGTGATTCTTTGTTTTGGGGAGTGGTCCTGTGCAGTGTGGGATGTTTAGCAGCACTGCTGGACTCAACCCAGGAGATGCCAGTACCCCTCCCCTCCCTTAAGTTGTGACAACCAAATCGGTCTCTAAACATTGTCAAAATCGGCCCTGATGGGGAACCGTGGTGCAGTGTAGATTATGCCAAGAATAGGAAGGTTGTGGGCTTTTATTCTCCACAACCCATGTCATTTTTTTTCTTATTTTTCTTTTAACATATAGTGTAATAATGATTTCAGGGGTAGAATTGAGTGATTCATCACTTACACATAGCACCTGTGCTCATCCCAACAAGTGCCCTCCTTAGTGCCCCTCACCCATTTAGCCCATCCCCCCACCCAACTCCCCTCCAGCAACCCTGTTTGTACTATTTAAGAGTCTCTTATGGTTTGCCTCCCTCTTTGTTTTTATCTTACTTTTCCTAAAAGATATCATTTAAAACCCTCTTTCTTCTCCTGAAGTCCTTTCTTGGTTACTGTGCAACTGGTTTTTGTTGTTTTGTTTTGTTCATGCTCCTTTAGGGATTGTTCATCTCAGTACTAATAATGTTTTGGGCCAAAAAATTCTGTGTTGGGTGGGGCTGTCCTGTAGATGGTAAAGTATTTGCACAGTATCCCTGACCTCTACCAACCAGCTGCCAGTAACACCTTCCCACCCAAGCCCCTGATAAAAGACCAGTGCTATCTCCACATACGGTTAAATGTCTGCTGGAGGGAGGGCCCAAAATGCCCCTGGTTTAGGACCCCTGTTCTGTCTATGCTTACCTTTCCGCATACAGCGGCTCTTGTTTTCAGTTGTTTGTTTGAGAAGAAATGTACATTGTCTCCTTGTCTTACCAGTCGATGTTGAGTGATAATTTTTGCTGTTGTTACTTGAACATGATTGAAGAAGCTATCTCAAAGTGGTTTAATTGTTACACTTTTCTCTAACAAATATAGTGTTGTCCCTAAGAGGAATTCTGACAAATAACATATACTCTGACTTGCTAAACATTCATCATTTCTACTCTCAGTGAATGGGAGTGGGCCATTTGAGTTTCTGTCACAGGTTCTGCTCTAGACTGCTTTTGCATTAGAGTAAATCTGCACATACCACTCTGTTTCACTAAATCTGAATGTATGGGCAACCTGTAGATAAATAAGCATATTGTCTTGCACACATTAACTGTATTAAAATGAAAAGAATGTCAATACTGGAATCAGGCACAACTGGGTTAATGTATCATGTAACTCCTCTTTAACCAGATTTAGTAACCTTAGGCAAGTTAGTTTCTCTGATCTTGTTCCATTCTTTGAAAATTAGGGGTAAGATTACCTTCTGAGTGGGTTTTTTATAAAGATTATAAATTAGATGATAAAGCACCTTTTTGTATATCAAACACTCAAAAATGCTAACCATTGTTATGAATTTTATCAAGAAATATTGAGGCCTATATTAAGAGCCTTTGGAGCCAGGATTTAACCTAGAGTATTTACCTCTTTATTTCATTTAATTTCTGACTACTTTGTTGTGGTCACTGCTGGGGATGCTGGGGAAAAAAGATGGTTGTGTTAATTTTTTTTAATTTGTTGGAGATTGTAAGGCTTGACTAACTCTTAAGTTCTCATAAACATTGAATTTTAAAATTTAGCATCTTTGGGAGGACTTCTTGGAATGTGAGAAGATTTGTATTGCCTCTAAATAAAACATTTGAGATACATTATAAATTTGGAGTTCAACTAAAATTGCTTCCTATAGTGGGGCACCCGGGCGCCTCAGTTGGTTGAGACTTCATTTCAGTTTGGGTCATGACCTCAGGGTCTTAGGATCAAGCCCCACGTCAGGCTCTGGGCTGAATGTGGGGCCTGCTTTGGATTCTCTCTCCCTCTCTCTCTCTGCCCCTTTCCCCCTCTCCCCCTCCTGCTCACTTTCTCCCTCTCTAAGTAAAATGAAAAAAAATTTTTTTAATTGTTTCCTATAGCAAAAGTGTCATTTGGTTGAATTTTTAATGTTTTTCCCAGTATGTAAGATATATTTTTCTTTCACATTAATTTTTCTCATTATGTATAAATGAAGTTTTGACCTTTTCAAGACAAATTGAAAAGTAAAATATGGTGAAAAGCAAATAAAGATAAATGTGAGTCACATTTCAAAAATCAATAAAAATGAAGAATGTACTATCCTGTCATTAAAAAGGGTTTCATTGTTCCAATTTGTTACACAAGGATGTGATTTTTCTTCCTAGATTAGAAAATAAAGTGTTAGTAAAGGCTGAGTTACACAAATTTGGTTACAATATAGAATTTAGAGGTGAAGGGGACCCCAAAATTATTTACTACAACCATCCCAATGTATTAGTGAAGAAAGTGAAGCCTTCAGAAGGTAAGTGACCTCCACAGAAGTTTTAACCAAAAGTTAGTGATAGAAACAGAATTGTGGAATCTACTAGACAACTGAGCATTTATTTTCTAATGAATTTTTTTTCACTTAGGGAATGACAATGGACATATTTTTAGGGGTTGTTGTGGAACTAACCACTGGGGGAAAATAGAATATTTTGACCAGGATAAACTTGATGATAATTATGTTTCAATTCAGTGCAGCTTTTTAAAGCAGGAAAAGCACCATTGTTGTCTGCTCCCAGTCTGTTAGAGAAGACACAGATGGACATGGCAGGCTATAAAAAAAGAAAACTAGATTTTAACCAACACATCACATTTAATTTTTTCCCACATAATCTCTCACTCTCTGATTTTTCAAACACTTTTGATTTTATTAAGGAACATATACAACATTGGAAACTTGTATTTAATAACTGGGTAAATGTCCTTAAGCTGCTAATATGTTTCCAAAACTTTTTGATGTATCTTGAATATTATAGATCTTTAACATATCTTCAATCTTCAGGTAGTGTAGTACGACTTTTCAACGTAGATATCAACAAGACTCCTTGGGTTTTTCACGAGATTTTGATTTTCTTCCTGCGTCCTTTTTTTGCTTATGTAACTTGTATTGTTCGGCCATTGTTATAAGATCTTTGGGGACACTTTGATTTGCTCGTTGCAGAATTTTAATCAATTCAGTGGCAATCTTCCAATCATTTTGAGTCATGAGGGTAATCGATATGCCAGTCTTCCCTGCTCTTCCAGTACGCCCCACTCTGTGTGCGTATTCTTCGATATTGCGGGGGAAGTCATAATTATACACATGGGTGACATCATTAACATCAAGACCTCTGGATGCTAAATCGGTAGCAATCAATATTTTCACTTGTCCGATTTTAAAGTCCTCTAGTGCTTGTTCACGATCATGTTGTTCTCTGTCACCATGCAGTGATTGTACAGGGATACCTTGTATGCCTAAATCACTGGATAAGTCATCAGCGACAAGTTTTCTGCTGACGAAGATGAGGACTTTGTCTTGGGGTGACAGGCTCTCTAGGAATTCTTGGATAAGAGATCGTTTTTCTTCTTCTGTGGTAACAATTACAATTTGCTTCACTGTATTTACAGCAACTAGATCCAGAGTGCCAACATAAACAATCATAGGCTCTTTCAAATAAGATTGAGCAAGTTGACGAATGGTATCTGGCCAGGTTGCACTTGTCATAATGGTCTGGCAGTCTGGGCGCACATCTAATAAAATCTTCATTATCTGGTGTTCAAACCCCAGATCTAGCATTTTATCTGCTTCATCTAGGACTAAGTAGGTTACGCTTTGTAGGGTGACAAACTTATTCATTTGCAGATCATTCAGTCGTCCAGGAGTTGCAATAATGATGTCTACTCCTTTGGTAACGTCTCGTATTTGTCGATCTCTATTCCCACCACCATATATACAAACACTTTTAAGACCTTTGTATGAATACTTAGAACATTCAGCTTCCACCTGAAGAGCTAATTCTCTAGTGGGTGCAAGGACCAGCATGCCAGGTCCATTCCTTTCCTCTCTCGATACTGGTTGATTATTGAGATGAATAAACCCAGGCATTAAATAGGGCAAAGTTTTGCCTGTTCCCATTTGGGCAACTCCTATAAGATCGATTCCTTGTAGAATAATTGGCCATGCCTGTGACTGAATTGGCGTTGGGTTTTGAAACCAGCTCTTCTAATGTTTTTCATAAGTTCAGGATAGGGTTGGAAAGCATCCTCAAATTTACAGATGGGATTGGGGATGGGACGCTTTTCACCATCTTTCAAGTCATCACACATTACGTCAAAATTTTCCTTTCTCCACATATCTACCTGAACTCGAGACATTGACCTTGTTGCTTTGGATTCTACATAAAAATTTTTCTGAATTGGTGGTAAATCTGCCCATTTTCTTTTTTCCCCACTCTACGACTTCTGCCCTGACCTGATCCCACTCTATCAGTGGCTGAACTTGTCTACCAGTGGTATCTGTGTGAAAATCTCGTCCCACAAAGGGCTCAGGGCCAGCATTATCAACACTGGATTCTGAAGTGTAGCTTCGTTCTTGTTTTTTAACGAGAGTTTCTATAGCCGCCTTGGCCTTTGCTTTCGTATCCTTGGTACCAAAAATTTTCACCTCTGCTTCAGAATCGCCTTTCATGATCTGTATTTTGGTACTGGTCGTACTCTGGATGTCTTTTATCTTGGATCCACCACGACCAATCACCACACCAATCATGTTGTTATTTAATTTAAAGCACAGAGGTGGTTCTCGGGGGCCGAAGACCTCCACGTAGCAGCTCCTGCCCCTGCCGCTTCTGCCCCTGCCTCTGCTGCCGCCGCCGCCACTGCCACCGCCTCTGCCACCACCGCCGCCACTGGCACTACCTCTGTCGTCCCGACCGGCTCTGAAATCTCTTGGATTAGGCTCTTCCATTTTCTCTGGGCCCAGGCCATTGCTGAGTAATGGTGAGATTGGTATTGGCCTCTTGCCTACCTAGAGTTGGAAGACGATGTAGTCCGAGGCCTCTCTCATCAGGCTCTTGACCAACGGACTATGTCGCCAGGCCTTAGCTAAGCAGCTGTTACAGAGGGAACTGTTGTTTGACTTGGGGGCAGGGCTTTGAAGGCCTGACCAATCAGAGGACTTGATACTAGGATGTGGTCGGCGGGCCCATCTGATGCAAAATTTAAAGGCACACTACAATATGAGCCATCACTGGTGACTTTAACCTTGGTCATTTGGTTAAGTAGTATTACTCAGGCTTTCCCTACTGTAAAATTATTATTTCTAGCTTTCCATCATAGTAATAAATATTATCATTCTATTCTTTGGAAGCAAGTCGTTAAGTCTAACTGATCCTCCAGGGCCCAACCACCTGTTTAAAAGCACTTCTCACTATCTAACAAATTGTATCTTAGCCATTCAATTTGGGAAACACTGCTCTGGGTGAATATTGATTAATGAATTTTTTTCATGTGGTTATTCACCCATATGTATTTTGACCAGACACATTACAAGTCTTCCACACCTCTTTATGAATTATGCTAGGAGTTTTAAAGCATTCCCAGTATCTTTTAGTTCATTATTAAAAAGGGAAATTTTAGTTCCCTTTAGTGGCTTTTAGTTAATGAAGAGTATACTATATTTCTCTGTCTAGGGCTTCATCTTTACATGGAAAAATACCATGTATTACAGAACCACAGAATTCTAGAGGTGTTGAATGTGTTAGGGTCATTTTATTTTTCTTCTTCATCAAAGAAAGAATGAAAACCAGGCCCTAATATACTTACAGACTTGAGTAGGAATGCTTAGCAGATCCTTGAGAGTATAAATTCAGAACCATTTCTTAGCTTAGACACAGGAGCTCTCTGTGAAGTGACTTGTCTCTGTGAAGTGACTTGTCTCTGCTCCTGTTGTTTCATGTCGGCGATAGAAAGTAGAAGGCATGATCATGAAATGAAAGAAAGTCATAGAGTTAGGGAGAAGGGTAACTATGTACAAAAGCAGTGCGCTTTGGGGGGGGGGGAACTCCTTTTAGTGAATTACTGGGATAGAAGACTTTTATAACTATTAGAGGTACTGAGAGAGATTGTGCCTTCAGGATCATTCATTACCATCTATGATTGGCCTTACCAGTTGGAGAAACTGATTGTCACCTAAATTAAGGGCCACCAATGTGATATCCTTTGCTTTGAATATCTCTGTAACAGGCTTAGCACTTATTTCCGAAATATTCCCATTAGGTATTTATCCCATGGGTTATGGTTTGATACCCCAATAACTTGTTATTACAACACACACACACACACACACACACACACACACACACCCCAAAGTATAAAGTTGTCAATTAGATGCATTCTAGTGGAGCCTCTGGCTAAGAGGTTCTTATAGAACAGAGGCAAAGAAGGAAGGGTTGGGGGTTCTGGTAAAGTATATCTGAAGGTAGAAAGAAAGGTAATAAAAGAAAAGAGGAGTGTGCTTAAGACATTCATCACCATTTTGTTTAGGGCGGTCCCTTACCTTACACTTGATAGACAACAATAAGAGAGTAAAATATTATGAAATATTATCATTTTAAACTGTAATTTCCACAAAGTTTTACTGTAAATGAGTTAATGTTGTCATCTTAAAGCATTCTTGCCAGTGGGACTTCCTTAGAAATAATCTTGACAGTATTTTCATTTACTCTTCTTTGATAATCTAAGGCAACCTAGACTTGTGGAATTCCAGTTAACAATTGGTAATTATAATAATTATAGTTGATTTCACATCTATATAGCACTTTATAGTTTATAAATACATGTAGAAATGGTCTACTTGGATGATAAGTGTCTGGCCATTTATCCTGCAGGTGCAATATAGTATGGTAAAAGCTGTCATTATCATTCTACACATTGGTGTGTTTGCTTTGTGCACAGAACCATACTTAATACTATAGGGTCTAAAGAAGTGGCAGCAGTATGGAATAGTTGTCAAGAACACAAAAGCCTAGGGACACTTGGGTAGCTCAGTTGGTTAAATGTCTGACTCTTGATTTCAGCTCAGGTCATGATCTCATGGATCCTGGGATCGAGCCCTCTACATTGGGCTCTATGCTAACAGCACAGAGCTTGCTTGGGGTTCTCTCTCTCTCTCTCTCTCTCTCTCTCTCTCTCTCTCTCTCTCTCCCTGCCTCTCTCTGCCCCTACCGGACTCCGTTCTCTCTAAAAATAAATAAATAAACAAACATTTTTTAAAAAACTGAACACGAGGGGCGCCTGGGTGGCGCAGTCGGTTAAGCGTCCGACTTCAGCCAGGTCACGATCTTGCGGTCCGTGAGTTCGAGCCCCGTGGCAGGCTCTGGGCTGATGGCTCAGAGCCTGGAGCCTGTTTCCGATTCTGTGTCTCCCTCTCTCTCTGCCCCTTCCCCGTTCATGCTCTGTCTCTCTCTGTCCCAAAAATAAATAAACGTTGAAAAAAAAAATTAAAAAAACAAAACAAAACAAAACAAAACTGAACACGAGAGCCCAAATAACTGGGGTCTGATCTCAATTCTGTACCGTATTTAGCTGTGAGTCCTTGAGCAAGTTCTAAGCTACTTATGCCTTAGCTCTGCTATCTGTGGAATAACACAGTAATACTTATCTCATGTACACAGAGACCCAAACACAGTTACATTCTTTGTTCATAGTAGGAAGTCTCCGCATCTCACTAACACATGTCACAGAAAGAGTAGGTGTATAGAGACAATTATGGAAGTTCCCAATTGCCTGTCTAAGAATTTTCCTGATAGAATTTCCTCTCTCCACATCAAAATGAAGAAAATAAAGGTAATAAGAATTTGTTCATAAATCTATATTAATTCAATTTAAACTTTTTCCCCCTAATGTTTTACCCTCCATTTTCAGTAAAATATCCTTTAAAAAGTGAACTGAGGACCACAAATGATTTTTAAAGGTCTCTACAATGGCAAAAAAATAAGTAAAACTGATGCTTGTAACAAGATTTGGTTTTAAAATATTAACTTGCATGTGCAACCCAAGAACTTTTAAGCACTCATCTAGTACAATAGCAAGTAAACACAATTCAGGATGCTATTAGGTATTAATCATGATGGCAGGCCAAAAGGGCTGGAGGGAGGTGTGGGAGGCTGGAAAGTTGAGGCATAGCCCTCTAAGAGATGGAGATTTATTCTTTGAGTAGGAGGTGTGAAATGAGAGATAGGAGGATCTTAAAGTTTTAGGGGAAGAAACCAATGTAGCCTTGGGGAAGAGATGAGGGCAGCCTGGAGGACTAGGACAGAAGGCTTAGGTTAAGGAGAAAGGGGAAATGGAGAAAAATAGTTTGGGTCAGGGTAAAAGAAAGGGGGAACTTTCCGGAACTAAAAAGACCATCAAAAACATTTCAAGTTAATACAGGAAAAAAAGAGGGGGAGTGAATCTAGAGTGAGGGAGTTCTCTGACCCTGTCAGTATTCATCAAGGACGGAGGGCCGTGTGGGGAAAGCAGGATACCATGAAGTGAAGAACCGGGGCTGTGTTGGTGGTATTTTAAGTGTATCGAACTGAGAGACTTGGACACACTGTGGCAGTGCTAATTCAAGAAAGGAACAGCTCTAATGAGAAGGGGCCCAAGTAGCAACTAATATTTTTAGTCCTACTCTATGCCAAACATGTAAAATGCATGTTCATTTTACTCATTCATTTTACTCATCACAGCAGCTCCATCATATGCATCTTCCTCTTTTCTCATGTGAAAACACTGAAACTCTTAATTGTCACATAATATATTCAAGTTCATGCAAAGGTATGGTGAATAACTTAGATCAATTTAGACACAGGTCTGATTAGCTTCAAGGCCTTTCTGGTTTCACTACACTCCCATTTGTAGGGGAAAACATGCTTGATTTGGTGCCTGATTGTAGAGATAAAGAGCGTGTTTCATCAAAGACGACTCAAGCTGACAGGCTGGGGGTTCCTTGAAGCAAATGATCTTGGAGCTCTTTGGCAGTGAAGATGGAGGGGACGTCATCTGTAGGGCAAGAAAAGGAGTTTGGTTTCAGACCTGTCCAGTTAGTGTTAGTTTGGAGAATTGCAAGTGGGTATGCAAAGTAGGACTGGAGACTTGGGACTCTAGTTCAGATAAGAAGACAGGAGGAAAGATAGGAGAATAATCAGCATAGACATTTAGTTGAAACTGGGAGAATGAGTATTCTTCCCAAGAAATAGAGTCAAATGGAAAATAGGTTTGAGAATATCTTCAGGAATCAGAGCAGCCATATGAGTAGATAATGAGAAAGGGAAGACAGGGAACCAAGTGAAGAAGTAAGAAAAAAAGTCAAGAAAATAAGAAGAGAGCATGTGGAGAAGACCTACTACACAATGTAAAATACTTCATGAAGGAGAGGGAGTAAACAAACTACTGAAGTTGGGAGAAGGAAATTAGCAATCACTTTCAAGGTCTTTTTTTTTGGCACATGGAGAAACACATATTCCTGGGGAAACACTTGAGAAGAGAGCCCCTTGGACCACTGGGGCACCCTGCAGTGCTGGGGAGAGAACCTTCCATCTTATACCAAAAGCTGTAAGGCACTGTTCTCATTTTTAAGGCTTCTAGGAAACTAAGATTTCATGGGCAAGTTCGTGGCATTGTTCTGTCAAGGATCCAGTGGATTTTCAATAAGATTACCTATTATGAATATTGGAGGGAAATGAATTTCAATGGTCTTTGAAAATACCTGGAAAGGTAGGATGAGGGAGAGAATCACAAGGAGACAAGAACCATTTATTAGCAGTTTCAGAAAAGGGAAGTCTTTCTAAAAGGAGGAATAGGGAGTGCTGGGAGTTCTTTTCAAGGAGACTACAGTGCTATTTTTAGCTACCCATTAAACCTTTCTCTCTCAAATTTAGTTTTTTCTCCACAGAGTGGGGGGATGCATTATTTAGGTATATGAAGAAGTGAGGCTATTGAGGTAATTAAATCTCCTTTCAGCACAAACATTAAAAAAAAAAAAATACTGTAAGCTGATTAGCACCTGTGGTAAGCCCCACTGGAGAAATCCTTGCTTACCAACTACTTCCTGTGGAAATTTTAACATATTGGCATGAGTTTTAAAAATAATAACCTTCGGGGCGCCTGGGTGGCGCAGTCGGTTAAGCGTCCGACTTCAGCCAGGTCATGATCTCGCAGTCCGTGAGTTCGATCCCCGCGTCAGGCTCTGGGCTGATGGCTCGGAGCCTGGAGCCTGTTTCTGATTCTGTGTCTCCCTCTCTCTCTGCCCCTCCCCCGTTCATGCTCTGTCTCTCTCTGTCCCAAAAATAAATAAACGTTGAAAAAAAAATTTAAAAATAATAACCTTAAATTATCCCTTGGCTCTATTTTGAGTCATTTGAAGGGCTTTCTAGGACTTTCATTTCTGATAGCTCTCACCTAGGTAAGCAGAGAGAACAACAGTTATCTGCATCATTTGCATTATATACAGAAACCAAACAATCCTTAGAATTGTGGGCTTCTAGAGGTGGGAAGGACTGACTTGGAAAAGCTTCATCTACAGCAGCTGTGCCCGATGGGCACATCATGTGAGTCACACAATTTTAAATTTTCTTGTGGCCACATTAAAGTAAAAAAAGGGGAGGCTGGCTGCCTCAGTTGGTTAAGTGACTCTTGATTTCAGCTTAGGTCATGATCTCACACTTTGTAGGATTGAGCCCTGCATTAGGCTCTGTGGTGACACCTGT